GTAACATCAACATCATAGGCTACTATTTAATATTCTCTATATAGTAATATCGCTAACCCATTCTCATCCAGCCTTATATTTTGGCGTCATGAAATGAAAATGGTCTTTTACTGCATGCCTTTCCAAACCTGTATGATTTTCTTTCTAGCACTAAATTTATCTATTACAAAAAAACACCTTTATAATCAATGAGGCTGTCTACTATTGAAATTCAAAACAATTGAAATCTAAAACTGATGTGACCGCACATATTTGAAGATTTAAGCATTTTACTCCCCCTGTGATGGAGAGAGGCCCATGGGATACTTGGTAACAACATTTAGGTTCAAAAAACAGGTTTTTTTGCTGTTCAAAGTGATTTTTGTATGTTCAAGGACTCGTGCTTCTTGCGTCTGAACAATTACAGACAAATCTGGAAAGATATCGCACGTGTTTGTGCTTTAGGAGGTTATAATATGAGACTATACTGTTATCATGATGATCTTCTGTTATCTTCTTATGATTATAAAGTATTATTTTACTGTACACTGTAAAATAGAAAAAATCTGTGACATTTCCGGTAAAATACCAGCAGCTGTGGTTGCCAGAACTTCACCGTAAAAAATATGGTAGCAACATTTTAGGTTTTACAGACTTAACTTAAATTCACAATAAAATACCGTATTTCATTAACTGATGTAATGTTAATAAACCAATATTTTGAAGGGTTAATATCCGTTTTGAACCATTGTAATGCACTTATAACCACCAAAAACTGTTAGTGATGAGAAAGTCACATGATGAACCAAAGCTCATCACAAACAGCTTTTCTACGAGCTGCGGAGGACAATACTTATATATAGAAGGTGCTCAGTGTCATTCACACAAACACTAAACCCCATCACGGTGACACACATGATACTGAAATAATGCAATAAACATTCCCGTATTGGCCCGAATATAAGACAACCCTGATTATAAGACGACCCCCCTTTTTCCAGATGTACCTTTTGGAAAAAGGCTTTTTAAAAACCAAATCTTGTTTTTTCTCAGTAAAACACATTTTGTCTTCAATTATTTTCATATATTGCATATTTTTCCTATTTTAATTTTTGTTTTGAAAGTATGGTAAAAACTGGTAAAATGTACCAACAATCACATTTAAAAAATATACACTTTTTGATATACCATTAAAAAAATTTCATCAGTTTTACCCCAAACATGATTGTGCTCTTTATTTTGAACTTGATTTTGTTCTGTAAATTCTGTAAATATGTCTCGTTTATGAAAATTGGCCACTGTAGTTTTTAGGAAATTATTTTTCCCTGCAACATTTATACGTGGGATGTTGAGTACTATTAGCCCAGTTCTGTAAGGTCAGTTGCAGTGTTTTGTTTTTTTGTTTTTTCAATTTGAACTTTTTGTTCTGAAATGTTAAAATAATTTAAAAAACGCCTTCAGAGTTGTGAACTGTATCTCTGTATCTTACTTTTAAGAAGTCCATCCACTCTATCATCCAAACCTCTTTATCCTTATTAGGGTCGTGGGGAGCTGGAGCGTAACCCAGTGTCTTGAGCCACAGGTGAGAAATAACCCTGGATGGATGGATAGCCAGTCCATTCATTTAGTTTAATTGTGCAGGTGCATTTTTGTCTTAAACGGCTGTTATGGAGATGATCACCCACTGGCAGAAACATAAAACACAAACTGACTTTAAAAAGCACCTTTATAAATGTTCACTGGAGTAAACAGCGCATAGGCTAAACTCTGCCTCCAATATTACACTTTTATTTTAAAAAATACGCTTGTGCATGTGGTTTATTAGTATTAGGCCTACTCACTGATTATATAAATACAGCCAGTAACTCATAAAACTGTAATGTGAAATGTGTGCACCGGTTATTAATCCTCTGGTGTTGTTCGACCAATATTTTGAAGGGTTAATATCCGTTTTGAACCATTGTAATGCACTTATAACCACCAAAAACTGTTAGTGATGAGAAAGTCACATGATGAACCAAAGCTCATCACAAACAGCTTTTCTACGAGCTGCGGAGGACAATACTTATATATAGAAGGTGCTCAGTGTCATTCACACAAACACTAAACCCCATCACGGTGACACACATGATACTGAAATAATGCAATAAACATTCATTTAACAACATTAGATGTAAGATTAAACCCTAATGTACACAACTGATAAGAAAACACGAAGAAGAAACATGTTATTTCAACAAAAAAAACATCAAATATGAAGTGTCATGCAGGGAATTCTGGGAGTGTCAATTTACGTTTTTTTACTGTAAATTATACAATGACTTTTTCTTTTTCACTTCTAAAAATCTTACTTTTAACAGTATTTTACTGTAGCATTTTTACAGTCTTTTACTGTTAAATTCACAATCATTTTTTTACTGTGTAATTCTACATGATATTTCATCAGTTTTACCCCAAACATGATTGTGCTCTTTATTTTGAACTTGATTTTGTTCTGTAAATTCTGTAAATATGTCTCGTTTATGAAAATTGGCCACTGTAGTTTTTAGGAAATTATTTTTCCCTGCAACATTTATACGTGGGATGTTGAGTACTATTAGCCCAGTTCTGTAAGGTCAGTTGCAGTGTTTTGTTTTTTTAATTCTTCAATTTGAACTTTTTGTTCTGAAATGTTAAAATAATTTAAAAAACGCCTTCAGAGTTGTGAACTGTATCTTTTAATAAAACTTTTAAGAAGTCCATCCACTCTATCATCCAAACCTCTTTATCCTTATTAGGGTCGTGGGGAGCTGGAGCGTAACCCAGTGTCTTGAGCCACAGGTGAGAAATAACCCTGGATGGATGGATAGCCAGTCCATTCATTTAGTTTAATTGTGCAGGTGCATTTTTGTCTTAAACGGCTGTTATGGAGATGATCACCCACTGGCAGAAACATAAAACACAAACTGACTTTAAAAAGCACCTTTATAAATGTTCACTGGAGTAAACAGCGCATAGGCTAAACTCTGCCTCCAATATTACACTTTTATTTTAAAAAATACGCTTGTGCATGTGGTTTATTAGTATTAGGCCTACTCACTGATTATATAAATACAGCCAGTAACTCATAAAACTGTAATGTGAAATGTGTGCACCGGTTATTAATCCTCTGGTGTTGTTCGGTCATTTTAGACAGGAAAAAAATGTTTTGAAATTACTTCATCAGAATGATATACGAAACTCGATGACTTTTATGTCATTCGCTATGTGACCACAAAAAAAACAAAAAATTGTGGGATTGATTGGAAAAAGCTAAATGTAAAAAAAGAGTCACACTTGTGTTGTTCGCGATTGGAAATGAATGAGAAATATGCAAAAATACGAAAATACTGATATTTTTTGTGTGTGCGATCTACAAATCATTCACGATGCAGAAAAACAAGTGCACAGCAATGAAGGGGTGACACTCTAAAATATCAAGAGTGCAAAACAGACACACTCCACCAACGGACACACATATATAAACTAATGTGACTGTAACACAAAGCATGTTTGCACAAATGCATGAAATAAAATCAATACTTCAGCCACAATGCAGTAAAATCAGACACCAAGGAAGGGGTTACACTGTAAAACATCAGGAGTACAAAACAGACACACACAAACCACACTATTATACACACGCACAACTGGTGTGGCTATAACAATATTGCAAAATTGAGCCAGAGGACAGATTGATTAACCTCTGATAAAGCATTCCTGTTCATTTTCGTTACATTTTTGTTAAATTTTGATGTTATGTGTAACAAAATGTCTTTCTCTGTGTTCAGGTTTGCCTGTAGTAAAATTAATGCAAAAACTGACATTTCAAATCAACATTAACAAAAAATCTAAAAATGTTAAAAAAGAATGTCTAAATATATATCCAAATCCACAACTTAATACAAATAAGTATTTATGTCTACAACCAACTAGAGGATTTATAAGCCTTTTATATAGGGCTCTATAGGAATCTAGTGGCTAAACCATGGAATTGCAGATGTTTTTCTCTTTTTACTCCCACAAGATGGCACTAATCTGCCTTCAAAAACTGGATTTTAAAGGCATTGTCTCTATTTTAACATGAAATACTGCCTTAAAGGCAGAGTAAGTGATTTTTCAAAAACACTTTAGAAAACTGATTCGGGCAGAATCGCAAAACAAACTTGTAGCCAATCAGCAATAAGGGGCATGTCTACTTGTGATGTGGAGGAGAGAGCGTTCAGTGCACGGGACGGACATTAGCCGAGCCGAGCGACAGAAAGATAGAGATGGAGGATAAAAACAAAAGAGGAAAACGTCTGCGGAACGATAAGGCAAGAAGTAGGACCCGTGTAAATATCGGATCAGCTTTCCAGCGCTGGAGAGAACTCAAGGAGCGGAAGGCCTGCGATCGGACGCCGAGGTTGCTTTGTTTCTTCTCAATCGGTGAGTAACACCGTGTCTGCGCCGCAACAGCTAAAGTCTGCCTTCACTGGACGCGATCAAACCACCGTTGAAAACCATTTGAAATGTGTGTCAGCACGTAATAAATAGAACCCGGTAGCAGTTTTCTGTCGGGGATTTGTTGCGCCGCGATGTAGACATGGTGTAACATTTTTAAAAATTTGTTTCACAGAACTAATCGTTGCCTGGGTTGCGTACGTATGTGTGGGGCGGAGCTATCAAAATAGGGGCAAGACCCTTTTGGGGTATAGGGCGTGTTTGTTTTGGTGATTTCAAATATCAACATTGGCTACCAGAAATCACTTACCCTACCTTTAATTGAAAAGTAAGATAAAAAATATTCGGAAAAAAATATTATTTTCAATGGGAAAAATTGCATAAATATTAATTAGTACCATGAAATTCTCTCAAAATACAACATAAAAAAGAAAAAATATTATTGAACAAAAATATATTAGATTTCAGGTGTTCGGTCACTTCTGACCGCGAACAACACAGGTGTGACCCCCAAATGAGCAACACCAGAGGGTTAAGCAGCAGGGAGGAGCAAAGCTGGTTAAATGAGGACGCGTTTCCACCGAAAGCAGCAGCAGTCAGTCTCAGGCAGCTTCAGCTTCAGGTTCGGGACTGGAAATGGGTCGGCAGGGGCAGAGATGGCCAGTGTGGATCTTATTATTGGGATTGTCAGTGTGTGTCAGCGGGATAACACGACAGGAACTTTTTCCGTTCGGGAGAAACGCAGGCGACCAGTCTCTTGATGAAGGCAATGATGAGACTCAGGAGATCAGGCTGCAGAAACCCGTAACGTTTCACGACGGACAGTTCAACACGATTTACGTGAGTGTTTCAGCTGTGAATGATATACAATACTGCCATGCAATAGCTTCAGTAATAATATAATGACCCTAGTAAAACAAACTTTGATATAAACAATGTTAAAAAAAGTAATTGCCATATCTTGAGAACCAGGAAAAAAAGTTTTGTTATTTTTTTTTAAGTAACAAATGGAGAAAAAAATTTTTTTTTTGAAAAAAATAATCTTATTCATATTTTATTTTGTGTCCTTCAAAAAATAAATAGACATGAAAAGGCGAGTATAGGCAAAAACAATGTTTTATTTTTTCATTCACCGATTAATCTCAACTATGTTATGAAAGATATAACAGAATGATTTGATATACTGCTGTACTTTATGCAATATGTGCGTAAAATGTTCATAAATTGGTTTTCCCATTCTATACAAAGTATCTATACTGTACACTGCATCTCATTTGCATATTAATGTGTTCTTGGGGCAAACCATAATGAAAAAAAGAAGTGTAATAATGGGAGTAATAACTTGGCAACGTTTTCATAAGAATATCTCATATTTCATAGGAATATTGATCTATAATTTCTTTCCCTATTGACCCCAAAATGTCTGATTAAGATGCGATTTCAAGTTTTCCTTTCTCTTTGGAGTGTTACAAGCTCTTGGTGCATAAAGAAGATCTGTAAAGTTGCAAAGACTAAAGTCTCAAATCCAAAGAGATGTTCTTTATAAAAGTTAAGAGTTAACCACGCCTTCCTAAAACGGCTCGTTCTAACACGCCCCCACATGTCTAC